ATGGCCTGGCAAGCTTTGCCCTCACCGCTTCAGGGCACCTGTGTCTCTGGATGTCACTTACCCGTGGCGCCGGCAAAGCCTAGCCACAAAGGTCCTGGTTATGATGCGCCGGTGGCCAAAGGTCTATCTCTCTCCCTGGGTTTCTGGGTAATGTTTCGCCATATCATACACTTTGATTTTTTGATGTCTTCGTAGTTTTTTTTGAGGGTATATATCGCTGGATTAGCGGCTAACGGTGCAACCCCTCTAGCAATCGAACCTGGCAATGGACTTCCCCATCGAAACCATTCGAAACCCATTTATGTATAGATGATTTCCCATTCTTCATGAGGGTTTTGCCCATGTTGACCTGCTTGTGGGTAAGCTTCTCAGCAAGCACTACTACATGTTTGCCCCTGAAAAGCATGTCAAGTTGTCAACTTAGACTTACAGAAGACTTTAGAGATGGATTCATACCAAGGCTGTTACCACATGTTTGAGTCTCACTCTCCCTATCAACAAACCATAGTGAACCAATCAACATGCCCAGTAACCCCCACGAAGTACATCTAGTAAACCAATCTAATTGGCCGACCTCCCACCAAAGTATACCAAAATTCAACCAGTCAAAAACAATGGTCCAAAATAAAATCCAGTCGTCCCTTTGCGCCCAGTCCTCTTGGCTGCCTTGGACCGGCCTCGTCGCAGCCGTGGCGCTCACGTGCCGCGGCGGATCTTCGAATCGCTGGCGGAGCTGACGTCATCGCTGACCGAAGCGCCGGAGGAGCAGCTGCGAAGGCGGTTGGATGGACGACTGCAGGACGCAGCCAGGGAGTTTTTGGTTTTAATAAAGGTAAAATTATATTATATAGTCAAAGCATGGTTGAGTGCGTTGAGGGATGCCTTTTTTAGGGGAATATCACACATACACACACAATGTACATATGCTATTATTAACAGTTATTACTAACATTTTCATTCGTTACAATTATTGTTGTTATACGAATTGCTATCCTTACTTTTACCATTGTTGCATTTTATACCAGTAGTACCGCACAAGGCGGTGGCGGAAGTTTCAGAATAGGAAACCTATAGGAGACGTTGGTTGTTGTGAATCACGGATGGCAGAGCGAATCCACTGATTGACCGAAAGGTGGTTGGAGTTGTGTTTGCTGGAGTGGTTGCAATGGTTGCAGTGGTCATCTCACCCACAACTGCTGGATGTAGTGTGATGTACTGCAACTGTAGTTGTAGTTGTAGCGTAGTGGAGTTGTAGTTGTGGTGTAATGTAATTAGTGTAGTGTAGTTGCAGTCATATAGTTGTAGCTGTAGTTGTAGTTGTTGTGTAGTTGTAGTTGTAGTAGTTGTTGTTGTAGTTGTAGTTGTTGTTGTAGTTGTAGCTGTAGTTGTTGTGTAGTTGTAGTTGTTGTGTAGTGTAGTTGTACTAGTAGTAGTAGTTGTTGTTGTAGTTGTTGTAGTTGTTGTTGTTGTTGCTGTAGTAGTAGTCGTAGTAGTAGTAGTAGTAGTTGCTGTTGTTGTTGTACTAGCTGTAGTTGTTGTAGTTGGAGTTCTAGTTGCAGTTGTTGCGTAGTTGCAGTTGTAGTTGTAGTTGTAGTTGTAGTAGTAGTAGTAGTAGTAGTAGTTGTTGTTGTTGTAGTTGTAGTTGTTGTTGTTGTTGTTGTTGTTGTTGTTCTAGTTGTAGTTGTAGTTGTAGTTGTTGTGTAGTTGTAGTTGTAGTTGTAGTAGTTGTAGTTGTAGTTGTTGTGGTTGTTGTTGTTGCTGTTACTGTTGTCGTCGAAGTTAGGGTAGTTAAGTTAGTGAAGTTAGTTAAGTTAATCAGTGTCTACTTTTTCGACATCTTAACGTCAAAAAATGCTCAAAACCCTCAGTTTTTAACACTTTTGACTTCGAAATGTGCTTTGCGCCACAACAGCGTGCACTTTTTCGACACTTTTTCGACATCTGAACCTCCAAAAGTGGTCCGAGACCGTCAGTTTTTAACACTTTTGACTTGGAAATGTGCTTCGCGCCACAACGGCGTGCACTTTTTCGACATCTCAACTTCCAAAAGTGGTCCGAGAATGGTGTTTTGTACATTTTGACTTGGAAATGTGCTTCGCGCCACAACGGCGTGCACTTTTTCGACATCTCAACTTCCAAAAGTGCTCCGAGAATGGTGTGTTTTGTACATTTTGCCTTCCAAATGTGCTTCGCGCCACAACGGCGTGCACTTTTTCGACATCGCAACTTCCAAAAGTGGTCCGCTCCTCTAGTGTTTTGTCCATTTTGACTTGGAAATGTGCTTCGCGCCACAACGGCGTGCACTTTTCCATGTCTCATCTGGCCAGCTGGCTCCGCACCCGCCGCTTTAGCGAGCCTACTTTTCGACCCACCGGAGCCACAAATCATTGGAAAAACACAGTGTTTCGTGACTTTCCTACCTTTTCGCGCATCTGCATCTTCTTTCTTCTGATCTTGTCTCTTCTGACTCTTCTCACCTCTGCTTTTCAACTGTCCATAT